TGGAACACTTATAAAAAGCCGCACGCCAAGTCGCCACACAAATGATACTTCTCTACTCTCTCCCTACCAATTATTCGAAAATATCTGATTTAACTACTCTGAATTTCAAAAATCAGAATTTGAATACATCCTAAATTTAACCGAAAAACGGAGTAAACACGCTTAGTGAATCATCCTGTATATGGACTGTGTACCTATCTGCATCTGGTTATTTCTGAACGTATATTTATGTGCATACCAATGTTATTACTTTTAAATTTGAATATAAGTCAAATTGGTAAATAATCAATGTACATATACGAATGATACATTTGTTTTCTCGTCGAAAAATGGTTTCCGATTGTTTCTTGAACATTTGGACAAATAGAATATATCAAATAATAAATAGAATATTTTAAATGCACTTTTGAGTTTTCAAGCAATTCTGTTTTTTTTTATTAAATGCTATAATTGAAATGTTTGACAAAATGTCTATTAGTAAGAGAACGTTATATCTGAATGTGCTATCTCATTCCAACTAAAGGCCAGTTTTATAGTAAAATATACTTTACACAAACTGCGTAGAACTTGCTTAATTTTGGTTTTAGAGTAAAATTACCTAATTTAAAAAGAGGACAATATTCCGGAGTAAAAGACGATACGTTTTTCCTATTATTGTAATTATCATTCTGAAATTTACGTTCAATACATCGTTTAGAAATATAGACTTATTCATCGATTTTCAATGATAATGACATTTGAAAAAATTAATTTTAATAAAGAAACGCATTTTCATGCCTTTCGGAATAATATGCTCTTTAAAATTTCATCATAGGTGCTTTTACTCTAAAACCAAAATCAAGTGAGTTCTATGCAGTCTGCATAAGGTAGATTTTTAAAATTTGACTTCCGAAATCCCTCCTAAAAAAGAGCTAATACTGGAGATGGGTACAGCCACAGTTGTAACTGGAACGTTGGAAAGGTAGGATATATTAAGTTATTTAAATTATATCTGTACGTAATAATAGATCATTGCAAACGCTTTGGAGCGAAGTCCGGTAAGATATATTTTGGAATGCCATAATTTTTACGATTTTCGTCTAAATTCGATTTTTAAATACTTATAAAAAAAAAAACGAATACAAAACTCAAATTTGTTTTTTAAACAACTAAGTATTACTTACTTACTTAATGTATCTTTGTGTTAAATTTTTAATCATTTTTCTTAAATCATATAATTTTTATAACGGATACCTACCAAATAAAAATACATATAAAAACCCGAAAATCTAAAAACCTAAATGCCGTATTTCCTACGTTTTTCCCAGTTTCTCGTCATTATTAGGAAAATTATACGGAAAGTCAAACGACTATTTTTACAAAAAACGACTTTGTTTGTCAGTGGCTAAATATTGAAGGAACAATATTTATATTTTTTCATTTTTCTATTGAAGAAATATTTCTAGTAGAAAACATACACAAGTTGCAAAAATTACTTACAATAAAATCTAAATTATTATGAAAAATACTTAAGATGTATGGAAAAACGACTTTATTTGTTAGTGGCTATATGTTAAAAGAAACAAAATCGATCTCTTGTTATTTTTCGATTGGAATAATATTTCTGGTAGAAAATATCGTGTATACAAATTTAAAATAATTAAATCGGTAACGCTGCGGCACACCGTAAATATTAGCCGTTTAACCTATAATTTTCTTTCTGGTTTTTTCCAATTATTTTGAAGAGCCATTGGAAATTGAAAAATGACCTTTCTAATGTACCGACTAGAAACAATTTCCTTTTAGAAAAGATTCTACATTCTATACATCGGAGCAAGGTATAAAAGGAGTAAGATATTTTTTTTTTCTAAAAAGTTGTTTACAGACAGAAAAAATAAATAATAATACACATCATTTATTAAAACCAATAGATCATTCTTTACGATCCGAATCTAAAATATGCAAATTATTTTAGATGTTGTAAATAAAAAAGGTTGGTATTATACATTTTTTTCTATTTACATGATGAAATGATTGTAACATACATTTTGAAGTTTTCTGTATAATACGAATATATGCCGCTAATTAAAGAACGCAGATCATAGTCTACCAAGAAATATTGTATTTTACTATTATCATAAAATGTATCTATTTTATTAAAGTCTATTAGGTCTATTATAATTTCATAAATCTAAGATATTTTTATTTACATTGTTTTCTCTTAAGAAATATAACTGATTTACTTTGTATTGATAATGTTGTGATTGTACAATAAACGTGTCTAACTATACTATCGTCGATTGTGTATACTTTTCTATTTTTTTTTCCATCAAATATTCTAAGTGAAAACACAAAACTCAGTGAAGCTGAATAAATTTCCAGGAATTTTTTTTTTCGTTCAATATACTAATACAGGCAAAGAAATACGGGAGTAAAGGTAAAAGAAATAAAAAAAATGACGCGAGCAACATCGGGCGGGATTGCTTAAAATTATTAGATAACTCGGGTGAAGGCCGGGTGAATAAGTTAGTACTACCATAAATTAGTAAAACAATTGTTGCACATTCGTATTTACTTTAATTGTTAATTTAACATTGCAATATTGGTGTACCTATGCCGTTTTAGTATACATTATTATCACCGACAAAATAGATGTACCTACTTAATATACATGTATAATACACGTGACTGCCCGAATTCGGAGCAAATCGACAAACACCGTGGACATGTAAATTGACACCTTTATATTATTATCCAGGTCGTTGCAATTTGGTTGTAATTACCTATTACAAACCTACAATACGTCAGTATACCCACTGCGCAATACTTGTACTACTGGACTACGCTTTGAACGAAGTGATTGCGAAGTTATTTGTATTTAAATAACGAAGAAAATGTTCGTTTCATCTATATGGTACGTATACAAAATTACCTATAGTGTCAATCCAAACAATAAATTACATAATAATTGAATACATGAAAACAAATCTACGAGTATTATGGTGACACAAAAAATGTTTAGTCATTTATTTGAATTTATAAAAAATATCATAAGTACTTAATATGTGTTAAATTATAATAGTTAATTAGATGTATATTGCTTTAATATTCTCTGTTAATATCATACTTGACGTAAATAATATAATGTTAAAAAAAAAACAAAACATATTTGCATATAATAATAAATCATACTGAAATAAGAATACAAATTATATAAAAATGTTTAAAAAAAAATATTAACGAGTGTTGATATTACAATTGTTGTAGCTAAAGCTTACACGNAAACAATTTGATTGAATAAATGGAGTTAATATTTCTAGCTTAAATTTGTAAAAGAGAAAAAGTATTAATAATTAATGATGCTAATTTAGATAGATATTTAATAAAATAAATGTTTAGATATTATTTCATTGTATTGCGGAATCTAATGAAAGTTGATACATTAAAAATGTGATCGATCAAGTGCAATTAAAAAAAAATGAATTACTTTATTATTGATATGAATATAATATAACTTAGGCGGTTTTGTTTTTAAAATTAAATCTTAATTTTTTATTATAAAAAGGACTTAAATTTAATTGTCATTTAATCTTCGAACTTCATTCATAAAGCTCGTGCATAAGTCATCTAAATTAAATTTGTTTTCTTATTGTTATAAACTTGAATTTTTTCTTAAAATAATGATTAAAATGATAAAAAAATAATGATTAAATCTAACATATAAAATATTGTAACTAAAAGCTAATTTTTTTAACCTTAATATTTTATTAATCAAAAATCTTATACATAAAGTACCTACATCTAATTTACAAAATATTGTAGTAATAAAACGTATTTAATTTTGTTTTATCGTTCAACGTCTGTAACAAAGTATATTTTAAATGGGTGCCCTTGTAGACGATGTTATTGAATTGTTGAAGTCGGTTGAGTTTGTGGTTGTGATTGTTTGGAGAAAGGCAGAATTGCGGACGATTAGCGTATTCCATCAGCGGATTAAAACGCAGTAGCGCGTCCGACGTTGGCGTTAGTTCTGGCACGCTCTATAATACAGGAAAGACAAATAAAACGATGATTACGATGATAAAATAACCTAATCCTTAGAAAACCTTAACATTCACAGATATATAATAAACTAGATTACTGCTTAATTTTTAAACGACGATAATTTTTATATCTGTGTTATATTAATCGTGATCAAATTAAATGCAGGCTGCCGTGTGTATCTAATACCAAAATTATTAGTGTGGTATGACAGTTAGCCTTCTAGTTTATTATGTATACATTACATATATATTTTATCTATGTTAGAATTACTACGTTAGATTACTACTGAATTATCGTTTAAATGCGAGGTATGTTTTATGTTTTCGTGTCCAATCGTACAGTAAAAGCGGTGTACTAGAATCATTCTCGCGAGCCCGTAGTCGGATCCTTTAACTCGATTGAAGATTTAGTAATAAATTCGGTGGGGCACTGACATGGAATAAGTACCTCTATATTTTTAAAAGATAAATTATCGGGAAATAGCGCTAAATTAAATTTAGGTTAAATCGATAAAGATTGCGTTGTTTACATTCGTATTATAGAAAATTAGAACACCTCGAGTATTATCACGTATTGACCTTTTTATTGACATCCATTTATCACCTATAAAAGTTGCGTTGTGATCTAGTAAAAAATACCTAACTAATAATTTATCGTGAAATGTGCGTTTCACATAAAAAAAAAAAAAGGAAGGAAGTGTAAGTGTATAGTACAATAAAATATATGCCTATATAGAAAATTAGTTGATGTATCCCTTAAAGGATGAGAATGGATAGCCCTTGTGAGTTAAGCGCTGTTTAGGTTAGTATAAAATATACGGCGATGGACATGTTTACCTAAATCCTACTAATATTAAAATGTTGATTATCTAATATTCTAATATTCTAATTTTCTACTAGTATTATGTACACAGTTTATTTTATACCTATATATATATATTGTATTATTATAAATATATATTATATTAAACAACACACCTTTTCTTTCTTCATGCAGGTGACGGTTAATTATGATACGGCCTGGAAATCCTTTTACTTCTGGTATCATTGATTTTATGATTTTAACCATCATTTGGAAATCTGCAGCGGGGAAATCGGGCTTCATATAATATATCGGCGTGTACACGCTGGAAGTCGGGAACTCTTCCGGGGCCACGAAGATTGATTTGTATTGTGACAATTCGCCCTTTACAGTGGTACTGGGCAATTCCATTGTGTTCGGTGTCTTCAAGTGGTCGGCGAGGGCGATCTTTTCGGAGTCACCGGGAATGACAGATTCGAACCACTTAATAACTTTAGGAACATCTATCATGTCACTTGTTTTCTTATTATTCATTGGTAAATTCGCGTTGTCGACGGACGCAATTTTTCTGAAGTCACTAGACATCGCAATGTCTAACCACTTCATAACTTTAAGAATATCACCCACGTTACTGTTTTTTTTGTTATTCGTCATTGTATTCGCGGTGTTGGTGGGGACGGCCTTTTCGAAGTCATCGGATACAATCGACTCTAACCATTTCTTAACTTGAAGAACATTAGCCGTGTCATTTATTTTCTTGTTGATTATCGGTATTTTCGCGGTATTTGTAAGGGCAGTCTTTTTGAAGTCATTTGTTATTATAGGGAATAATGACAGCAAAATACTATTTATATCTTTATTCTTGTTCTTTTTTATCTTTGTGATATCATCGGAGGTGGCGGTCATTTCTACGAAACCTGGCAAAATCAAAGCATTATTCTTGAATTTATGAGTATCTACCATGCCGGTTGACCTTTTATTTCTCGTAGGTGTCTTCGAGGTGTCAGCGGAGGCTTTGAAACCAATGGACACACCATAATCAAATAACTTCATAAATTTAAGAACTTCACCTATGGCAATGTTTTCCTTCTCATTCGTGTGTGTCTCCTCGGTGTTAGCGAAGGTGATATTTTCAAAATAATCGGATACAGTAAAATTGAATGACTTCATAATTTTAAGAATACCATCCACGATTTTCTTTTTGTTTGTAGTTGTTTTCGCGGTGTCGGCGGCCACGATTTTATCGAATTCAACGGAAATAGCAGGTTCGAACCACTTCATAAATTTAAGAATTTTACCAATGGTAACATTTTCCCGGTTATTTATCGGTTTACTTGTGGTATCATTAGGAGCGGTCGTTTTGAAGTCACTTGGCGTTACATAATCATTTACTGCGCTAATTGATTTTTTATTCCTTACTAATGTTTGTGCGGTGTCGGCATCTGCGGTTTTATTGGAGTCAACAGAAATTACAGGGCTAAACCACTTCAAAAATTCAATTATTTCACCCATGGTAATGCTTTCCTTATCATTCGTCTGTGTCACCTTGGTGTTAGTGAAGGCAGTCATTTCTGAATCATCGGTTATAGTAAAATTTAACGACTTCATAAATTTAAGAATTTCACCAATGGTAAAATTTTCCTGGTTATTTATCGGTATATTTGTGGTATCATTAGGAGCGGTCGTTTTGAAGTCACTTGGCGTTACATAATCATTTACTGCGCTAATTGATTTTTTATTCCTTACAATGGTAACATTTTCCTTGTTATTTACTGGATTCTTTACGGTATCGTTGGGGGCGGTAATTTTATAGTCACTTGGTGTAACAAAACCATAGACATCAAACCATTTCATAATTTCTTTTTCTGCATTGATTGACCTTTTATTCCTCGCCGGTGTCTTCTCGTTATCGGAGGAGGCAGACTTTTTGAAATCAATGGACACAACATAATCAAATAACTTCATAAATTTAAGAAAATCATCTGTGTTTTTCTTGTTGTCCATCGACGTCTTCTCGTTGTCGTCGGCTACAACTTTTCCGAACTCATCGGAAAATATAGAATCGAACCTCTTTGTAAATGTAGGATAATCTATCATGTCTTTCATTTTCATGTTCTCATCATTTACCAATGCCTTATGTTGATGACTTAAACTTTGAAATTCACTCTTTTGAGCTTCGTGTACGTCTCGTTTGGTTATTATAATTGAATCAATACGAATGTTACACAAATCATCCTGACAGCAATGGTAAGTTAGTACGATTTTGGATGAGTTTACAGAAGGTAATGTCGGAAACGTTGAATATTCCGTTAGATTGAAACTTTTACTGCATAATTGGGTGCTATTTGCGGTGGGAAAATGAGGAAAAAGAAAACAAATTATAATTAGTATTCATAAGTATAGTAATCACTATATGTATATTAGAATAATGGAGCCTATTATTTATAAATATAATACCCAATAGGCAGTGATAGTTTATTTACGGTGTAGTAGTCTAAGAGGGTCTGGACCCTTCCTTTCCAGTAACCGTTGTAATTTCAATAAAATATCGTGTACAAAATTATACTTTAGAAATACATTTAATTTTTAAAGTTTTGGTAGGGAGAATAGAGAAACACTATTTAAGTTCTCCTTGCCGTACTACAACACAAATGATGCTCCCCTTTTCTTCACCTACTATTTTAACTAAATTCTATCTATTTATGGAATTTTTATGTAGTTTGCTTTTTAAAAATCTAAACTGGGTAGCGTGTTCACCCTCAAAAATCCCTTTCCAATTGAGTGCCATATAATGTATACAGAATATTCTACAGTTTTATCCAAATATTAATTTACGTTAACCCGTTGTATCGATATGTTCCATTTTAAAGTTTCGACGAGGGTAGAGTATCAGTGCATGAAAAAGTTAATGTTTTCCAAGATAATGAGTGTCTTATCGGTTATGTTGATCACCCTGTGTCCCTGTTTATATGCAATAAATTTAAAAATAAAAGTATAAACGTTTAATAGATTTCTATAAAGATAAAGAATAAAGATAAATAAGATTTATACCTGGTTATTGAAAATACATGTACAACTTATTACAATTTATATACATTTAATATGTACAAAAGAAAAAGCCTAGATAAATGAAATTTATTTACTATCGAAATTTTCGTATTAAACTAAATACCTATACACACAATGTTGTAGTGTTATCCAAATGCTCATATTCATTTTATTTTTTCGGGTTTTGTGTTAGAGGGACACAAATATAGAAAAAAATTACACTTTGATTTTCACCCATTTTAATAACTGAAAACGAATTTATTTTTATTTTTGAATTTAAAAATAATATATTTTACAAAATGGTTATTTTGAAAATTTTAAAAAGGGAAAAAATAAAAATAATTTCTTTTCAGTAACTAAGGGATGAAAACTAAAATGTAATTTTTGTTTACATTTGTGTCAGTCTGACTTAAACCCCCCCCCCCCAAAAAAAATTGAATATGACCATTTAGATAACACTGAAGGACTCGTGTATATAGACGTTTAATTTAATACGAATAATGCGATAGTAATTAAATGTTTATTTACTGGGCTTTTTCATTCGTACATATTATATAAATATAAATAATAAAATGTAGTACAAATAGTGATCCATTTAAGTGGGTTACCCATTATCTCTCGAAGTATTAACATTTTCCGGAAAATATTTTCTAAAATATTTAGGAAACAAGTTGCTCTGCAATTTTAAATATGTTAATTTTTAACATCCTTATTTTTAGAGGTAAAACCAATATCTACATTTGATTTTCAAATAGCAACCTACATTAAAAATTCCATAAATAGATGGAGTATTAGTTAAAATAAATTTCAGTGTTGAAATTTTTGATTTCTGTTAAGCCGTTAACGAGATACACCACTTTTAAGTTTGGGTTGGAGGATAGTAGTGGTGCATTATCAACACGCCGTGCGCCTTACCGCAACACAAATGATACTCTACTACTACCCTACAACCCAAACTTAAAAGTGCTATATCTCGTCAATGGCTAAACAGAAATTAAAAATTTCGACACTGAAATTTATTTTAACTAAATTTAATTCCATCTATTTATGGAAATTTAATATAGGTTGTGATTTAAAATCAAAAGTAGGTATTAGTTTTATCTACAAAAAAAAAGGATATTAAAAATGAACATATATAGAATTGCAGAGCAACTTGTTTTCTAAATATTCTAGAAAACGAATTCCGGAAAATGTTAATAATTTCTGAGATAATGAGTGTACCCACTAAAACGGATCACCTGGTACCTATAAACCTATATTATTACCTCGGTCGGTATAGGAACCGCCAAAAGTAGAGAATTATATAAAATATGACCAAAGATAGGTAAACGTAAGTGAAACATGTGGCATGAATATAACACAACCCACAGAATAAAATTATAACTTATATTTTTAATTATTTATTTTTTTATTCGACGATTGAATGAGCTCGATCACTTTTAAACGCGGCTCGGCCTCTTCTGTATAAATATCCCGTTTAAACATATGAATAAGCTCGTATTTATAAACAATATATAGATAATGGTTCGGTTTAGTACTTTATTAAAAATAGCAATATCAAGTAATTTAACTATTTATCATTCCTTAGAAAATTTTTTGTTTTATAGACTTTATTTATATACTCACGTCGGTAGAAGTTCTTGGCAACCGTACGAGTGTTGGTCGTTCGACACGTCGAGTCGTTCGTTAAATTTCCCGGATTGGGTGGTAGTGATGTTGGCGATGGCGAGCAGTGACGGCCCGGGAAAATTTGAAAAGCTGGTCGTTACCTGGGTGAAGCATCCCTGGCTGGTGTAGCACACAGGCACGCTGCTGAAGGAGGACATACACTGGCGCAAGTTGCAGTAGCAACGGATCTGTGACGAAGACGTGTGACCATCTTGCACTCTTTCGAGGTGTGAGACCTGTCCGGCACCTATGCGAAAAAATAAAACGAATTATAATATTAATATCTGGATATTGTCAGGAAAATAAAATTTATAAATTGAGTAAATATTATAAAGTCTTAAATGTGTAATTATACCTATTATATCGAAATACATTTGCGGCGGCGGGAATGTGATGTTGAGTGGTTCAAAATATACGGGTGTGAGTGGAACGTCCTCGGTGATTGCGATTGGCAAGAAAAGCGTTACGGCGGTTACTACCAGAAAGCATGTAAAACGCGCTCGGCCAGGAATGGTTTTGGCGGACATTTTTACAAATATATTTGCATACAAATTTCAAGGAAAAAGACAATATCGGAATCTGTGATAGATGTATCTACTCGGGACGCCGATGGGTCCTATACGCGAAATCGCCAAGGATCTTGCGGAGTAGTGGGAAACGCGCAACTATTAAGGAATCGCGCAAAGCATGATTTTTGGTTGAACTGGTTTGGAGAGGACGGACAGTGCGTCGTCGGTGGCGTAAATGGCGTCGGCGGGAGTGGTGACGGGGCTGTGTTTGGAGGCGGTGGCGCCGGTGGCTCCGCGTCGTCCGCGTAGTATACGACGCACGGGATATTGTTATTAGTTGCGCGCGCACCCGCAAACCGCACAGTATCGCCGCCCCGGGCGACGACGCATACCGCACGCCACGGTGTTGGCGGGGGTGGCGCGGTGCGGGGCGTCAGGAGTTTGGCGCGAGGTGGGTGTGGTGTGAGACGAAAACGAAGAAAACGACGATTCCTCCTCTTGCGATCGGCCGGGGAAGGGAGGACGCACATACGCAGTAAGTGTGAACGTCGAGCGGTAATCGCATCGTGTAGGCATAATAGAATATAATGCGTAATATTATTTAGACGGCGTCAACAATTTTGCGGTACGCGTTCTCGGCGTCCCTATAATAGCCTGGAAAACAATGAACGCATTTTACCAAATGCCGTTACGGCGGCGTATCGTTGGTCCCGGCTTAGATTTCAATCATTGTTTGGAAATGTATAGGTACTGCACCCGCGGTGTACACGCGTTACACAACACAGCGGCTTCCGCTAGGATTTCTATTCGGAACGTGAAGGGAAGCCGTGTATCCGTAGCTTATCTACAAAGCGAGACGCGTACAATACCATAGATTTCAACACGCATTATTATTAAACGACTATGTAATTCGGTTTCGTATTCGACCGATTTTTTTTTTGTTTTTTTTATCGGTAACGGGCATTTAAAATCCGTTTTTTTTTATTTATAATACTAATAATTAGCATCGAGTACCTGTAGTTCTTCCCGAGCAATATACGCGTATTCACGGGCATTTCCAAACCTTGACTATGGATGGGGGGGAGTGGAAGCGCGAAATAATTAAATTTGATATTAATGATTGATAAGAAAAATTGACCTTCATACTGCGCACGATGAGTGGACCAACGTTACAGATGAATAGTCGGGAGAAGTTGGAAAGGTACGATATAGAGAGAAACATAACGTATATCTGTCAGCGAAAATCATTGCTAACGAAAAGCGATTCTGAACGAAGCTCGGTTAATAGTATTGCTTTTTCAACAGTATTATATTCATATTACTGTAAAATGAAATCCAAGATTTCTGGTAGACTCTTTTTTCTTATATATATATAATAATAATAATAACAATAACATTTTTGTAAAACCATTATATTTTTCTCAACATTCAGAATATAAAAAACTATGGCAAATAATACATTGATTATATCTATTATATCCACTTTTGGATCAATTACTATACTAAATGCCAATGCTAGTCCACTTCTCTTGGGGGGAGAGGGCGATCGCTTTATTATGCGGATGGTTAACAACGTTAATCCGGATTGACGTGGTTCTATACATGTCATAAAATCGAGAACAAATAATAATAAGAGTTCTTTACATAGGTATTCTTATAAATTTTTGTTAACAGAATTTAATATGTGATTTAATATCAAAATAATTAGCCGTAACGATCGCGGGTTTTTATTATGGTTTTAATCAATACCACTAGTCAACGGAGTACCTACCGAATTAAAATTACCGAAAAAATACAAAATACAAAATGCTGTTCATTTGTATGTCGAAAATTAAACGTAAACCAAACGTTAATCGTTGTAATTTGATTAAAATAATTCACAGAGACTTTGTTCATCAAAATCGTTTTTCGTTGTTATATTTAATTTGTAGTTTTTCCTTAGCTTATACTATTTATCGTTTCGTATAAATATTGTATTATAACTTTAATATTGATCTATACATTGTCTATATGCGCATGCCGGAACCATATTTTGACTGTGCTCAATCCACGTTCGTATAAAAAATTAAAAAATTCGTAAAAAAAAATTAAAAAAAGATTTGCAATTAGCGATGTCGTATATGTAATATCTATACAATAATATAATTATTTTGTTATTTGATTATTTGAAGGTAAAACAAAATGTTTATAAATAATATTTAATCCGTAAGATAATTTTTTAATAATTTTAATTGTTATTTTGACAATGCAATATTGGTATGTTTAAGACGCGTTAAGGTTTGTCAAAAATTCTCCGACGCAATATTGGTGTACCTAAATATATATATGTCGTTTTTGTGTGCATTTTTTAACACCGACGAAACAGATATACTGATATGATATAATACCTGTAATTGACGAATTTAGATCAAATCGATCAACACCGTGAACGAGTATATTGGGAAATTTTAGTCAGGTCGTACGATTCGGCTGTAATTATTATCTAGGCAGGCAGTAGGCGTACATCTATAGTAGACCTGCAGTATACCCGTATACTCACTGCGCACAATTTAAATCGAAGTGATTCCGAAATTATTCGTGTTTAAATAATGTGCATTTCGTTTAGGTACACTTACAAAATTATAATATCAATCTAAACATTAAATTAACGTACAGATTATTATATACACAAAAAACAAATATATGATGATATAAAAAATGTTTTAGTTATTTATATTTAATTAATATAAAAAAAATTTATAATGTATTAATGTGTATTCAATTTAGGGCGGTAATATTAAATTAGAGCTAGAGATTGCATATTTCCTGTTTACTACTACTTGAGGTTAATAATATAATATAGTGCATGTAAAAAAAAAAAATATAAGTATTTATATGTGTATAGTATTTAAAATAATAATAAATTAAATCGGATATTTACTAAAAAAAAAAAATATGACAAATTATAATGAAAACTGACATTAAAATACAAAAGTTCGTAGCTAATGCCACGGCACGCTAATTTATATTGAATTAAAATATGTGCAGTAAAATAATAATAGCGGAACAAAGGGTTTTTATAAATTAATACAATTGATTGAACACGCACGGAGAAATTTTTAAAGTTTGAAATTGTACAAGTAAAAAAACATTTATAACTATTGATTATAATATATAATTATAAATTATAAATAGGTATTTCATAAAACATATCTTTATACATCATTTAATTTGATTACAGAATAAAATAATGTGTAAGTGTTGTTACATTATAATGCTCGATAAAGTACAATTAAAAATAATATTATTACTTTAATATCAATTTGAATATATTACTCAAGAGGGGGTTTTTTTTTATTACTAAATCTAAATATTTTATTTAAAAAGACTTGTGCATAAGGCACGCAAAATGAAAAAAAAAATGTTCTTGTTGTTATAAATCGACATTTTTCTAAAATAATACACGTGCAAAATGTACCTAAATCTGATATAAAAAATAATGTAATTAAAAGCTAATTTTTTGTTTTTTACTTTAACATTTTTAAAAAAAAAAAATCTTATAAAGTACCTTCTTAATCTAATATAGAAAATAGTGTAGAAATTAAAAATAATTTTTTTTTTACTGTTAAAAGTTTGTTGCATATTAAAATGTATTATAAATGATTACGGCACCGAATAAACAGTGATGGTTACTGCAGTAGTGTTGGTGGAGTCCTTGTAGACGATTTTATTCAATTATTTAAGACTATTGTAGTTATGGCTGTGATTGTTTTGGAGAAAATAAGATCTGTAGGTATCTGTACAATTGCAGACGATTGACAGGCATCGGCAGATTAAAACGCTGCAGTAGCGTATCCAACATTGCGTTAGTTCCGGGGTGTACTGTAATACAGAAAAGACAAATAAAACGATGATTACGATGATAAAATGATCTAATTATAAGCAAACTTCAGCATTCACAGATATGTAGGTAACATAAACTATATTGCTGATCAATTTTTAATATCGCGATAACCGTTATATTATTTGCGAAATATAATATTAATCGCGTATTCGACTATATAGTGGCTTATATTATATAATGGCTGCCGTGCGTCTTTTATATCAAAATCACTAGTATGATATAACAGTTAATAGTCTAGTTTTTTATGTATACACATATATATATATATATATATATAAAGGTGACCGTTATTTTTGAATTCTTAAAATTCGAGGAGTGCCGCCCAAGAATTTCTCCTTATGGGTTCAAAAATAATGTCTGCAAAATTTGGGCAGTACTCTTCGAATTTTGAAAAAAAAAAAATTAACTTATGTATAGTTAACGGGCACCCTAATGTATATAAACAGGTGATTATTTTATCGTTGAAAACTGATTATTTCGCAAAATATTGTCTTTTTTTTAAAAAAAAAAAATTGTTTTGAAAATTTAAGAAACAAGTAGATCTAAAATTCCCATATCACCTAAAAGTTGTATTGCGAACTGAAGTAATAATTAACCGAAACCTATGCGTTTCAGTTGGAAAAAAATAAGTAGATAAAAAGGATGAAAATTTTTAGTTATGGCTTAGCTATTTTTAGCTTTAATATTTTATAACATATTTGGTACACTGTTTGTCATAATTATTTTATTACTGTTATAAGTATAAATTATATACACACCTTTTCTTTCTTCATTCACGTGATTGTGTCTATCTGGAAATCCGTTCACTTTTGGTTTCAGTGATTTTACAATGTTTACGATTCTTATAAAATCTGCGATGGAAAAATTGGTCTTCCGATGATATATTGGCGGGTACACGCTATTAGTTGGAAACTCTTCCGGGGCTACGAAGATCGGTTTGTTGTGCTGAGACGATTCGTGTTTTGAAGTAGTACTGGGGAATTGCATCGTGTTCGGTGTCTTCGTGATCTCGGTGGGGGCAGTCTTTTCAAAGTTCCCGGACATAAAAGACGCCATCCATTGCATAGTTTTAAAATTTTCTTCCGAAGAACTTATTTTCACCTTTTTTCTCAGTGTCTTCAAACGGTCAGCAGTGGCGGTGTTTTGCAATTTACTGTACATGACAGGCTCGAAGCACTTATTAATTGTGGGCTTAATAATCGCGTCGATTTCGTGTTTTGTATTTTTTATGTTGCTCGTTGGCACTTCGGATTCAGCATTAATATCAGTAGTAACTTTGGGAGCCACTGCATCAGGATTGGTGTAAGGTGTAAGCCACACTGTCTCTGAATCTGCTTTCGTAGCTCTTTTACTTTTCCTTTGTCGTAAAGAACTTTGAAACGTTTTTTCTTCTTGTTCTTCTTGTACTTCTTGTACTTCTTGGATAGTGGTTGTGGCCGGGTTAGCACGATCGTTGCACATGTTGTTCTGACAGCAATAGTATGCGTACACGGTTTCCGACGTGTTTGCAGATGATAGCGCTAGGAATTCTGAACTATCTGTTAACTCGAGCATTTCATTGCATGTTTGGTTGCTATTTATGTTGGGAAGATGGGAAAAAAATTTAAATTAATATTCATAATTACAGTAATAACGGTGTATTTATTTTAATAATGGAGCCTACACTATAATCTAATTCATAACTATTGTGCCTATTAATCAGTGGATTCTGAATATTTAAAGTTTAAGTAGGGGCAGTTAGTGGAGCATTAGTTAAATGTCACGCATCGTGCTGCAATACAAATTGTTATCATTATGGTTATTAATGTAATATTAAATATTATACATAGGTATAATATAATAAAGTGTATAATGAGCTCGTGTGGGGGTCCATGAGTTTTAACTATAACAATATTACACATTTCATTGAAATACATGAATTAGTTATTAATTAAATTTAAAAACTATTTATACTTAGGATATATAAAACATAAAAATTTAAAAGGTTAGAGTATTAATGATTTGAAATGTACAATATAAGTGAATAATCAGCATCTTGTTGCAGTAAATGATTTGTTAAATTCAGCTCAAATATAACATAATTTTTATAATCATTTAATTCATAAGGTAGGTATGTTTAGACCACTACATAGAAAAAAAGGTTTATGTATATTAGAGGTAAATGGGTGATAATATTATTCAATTTATTTCTGGTATTAAAATTATGGAAAATTGGTTTAGTTAGATTATTTTTTACTAAGAAAGTAACTGTTTTTTTGTAAACAAAATTTGTACTGTTTGAATATTTAATTCCTCGGATTATTTATAGGATATTATTTTGTGCAATTTGTAATTTATTGAATTTACTTTTATTAGCTGCACCCATTGCAATGATGCCATAATCAGTGTTGATTCTACTAGTGCCTTGTTTATTGTTAGAATACTTTTTTTTTGCTCCACTACTCTTCCTATCATAGTCGATATCAAAACTTAAAGGTGGCCGTACAGGTCATGAATATGAACTTATGAAATACATTACACAATTTTATAAATACTAGAATGAGTTTTGCGGAAACTAAAAAAAAAAAAAAAAAATGAAAAACGTTTAAAAAAATAGTTTTAAATTATGTATAATAAAATGTATTTTAATAACTAACATAATTATATTATTAACAAAAGTATCATTATTATCTATAACCAAAAGTAATTACGAGTACTACCTCCTAATAATAATCATATCGAATTTTTCAAGCAATAGTTACTTTTTGACACATAATAGGTAGGTACCTATATTATATTATTCATGAATAATATCATAAATAACTATTTTATACTATTATATTATATATTTATAAATATTCATAAATATAGCATAATTTATCTTCATAGGTGTATCATTTTAAGTGTACTTTTACAAAAAAAAAAAAAGAAAAAAGAAAAGTTCCATAATTTTAGTCATAAATTACATACAAATAATATTTTTAGTCCTCTACCGAGTAGGCAGTGAACCTAGCGGCAATTTTAACTGCAGTGATGTTTTCAATCGATTTAACTTAGACGGGCGGGTGAAAATGATTACATCTTATTAATCCACTTTGGTACACAATTCGTGAACATTATAATCATATTCAATAATTTTAGAAAAACAAAAATTATGCAATTACTATTGTTGTAATTATTCTTTTTATAACTTAATACTAATATTTTAGAATTTACTTATATTTAAATATACACGTATATTAGGTATCCCTAAAATGGCATATGGATTATTCATTTTATAAAATAATAAAGTGAAACAAACACTTATCATAATACTTCAGATGACGCATTTATTATTCATTATTTTTTAAATTTGTATATATAAATGTTTTTATTCATATATTTATTTACAATATTTATAAATACTATGATTATTATAAGAATTACATTATTTTTGAATATCTAGGTATAATGATACCTATTCAATCTACCTACCATTTTTTTAACCTATATTGCACACAATATGTTTTATAATTATAATTTATTGTACCTAGTAAAAATATATTATTTATAAAGTTATTATAGAGATTTTGTGAAGGAATTGGGAGAAATAATTTTAAAAATGCATACAAGGTAATGATGTGTGTTATGATGAGGGAGATCAGAGAGCTATATTTTCCACCTTTACTTCTTTTAGTATCTAATCATTTTTATAACTGTTTACTAGTTAAATTCTAAATTAAATTTTTAATCAGAAAAATCGAAAATTCGATGTGTTGGTACCTAAAGTTAATATCATAACAAACAAAAAAAAAAAAAACAATTGAACTTACATTTAATTGTTTAAACAAAATAAGCTATGCGAAATATAGTTGAATATAAAGGAGGTTATATTACTATAATCTATAGATTATACTATAGTATTAGTATACCGATAGACTAATAATAATTGAAATTATTACCTTATACCTATAACTAATTTAATTCAATGATAATTTTGGTGTAGATTGAATTGAAAATTACGTACATAAATATACAAATTCAAAACTATTTTTTTTTTTTTAAATCCTAAGTTATCTACATGTTAAACAATATCACAATTTCATAACTCAGTATCTCCCTTCTTGGTGAAATCGTATATACGCTACTGATACAGACCAATACATACATCATATTAGATTCTGATCAATTTTCTATGGTATTCACTGTATACGTTATACTTACGTCGGAAGAAGATCTAGACAACCGTACGTTCCGTTAATGGTGTTTGACATGACGGGTTCCTCGTCGAATTCCTCAGGTAAGGGTTGATCGGTAGTGGTGATGGTGGTCGAATCGGTCACCTGCGTCGACCCGGTCAATTCCGATACGCTGGTCTGTATCCGGGAAAAGCATCCCTGGCGGGTGTGGCAGAAGGGCATGCCGTCGGTGGCAATCAAACACTCTGGCAAGTCACAATAGCATCGGATCAACGGCTCAGACGGATCAATGTGAGGTTGAATTCTTTTGAGTCTGTCCGGTGCATTATCTGAATAAAGAATACAAACAAATATATTTATTAATATTTGGATATCGTCGGCAAATATAATGTCGAGTTTTATAATGACATATTTTTTTTTTCACCTCAAATATCGAATATATTTTGTTATGAAAATAATAATAACCGTTATTATCGTAAAATCAAATATAATCTATAGTAATATAGATACGAAATATCTTAATATTAAATAAAATAAAAACGATTAAGTCTTAAATGTGTATATGTTATACGTTACCGAAATACACCGGCGGCCGCGGGTGTGTGAATCCGCCTATTAAAAGAGGGACGGAGTCGGCGTTAACGGTGTTTGACAAGAAAGCCGTTACGGCGGCGATGACCAGGAAGCCAGTAAAACGGACAAGACGGGAAATGATTACGGTAGACATTTTCACACAAATGTATGTTTGAAAATAATTAGAAACGAAACAGTATTGGAATCCGTGAAAGAAATATCTATTCAGGACGCTGGTGAATCGGGGAACCGCAGTGGAGAATTCGGAGCAATGAGGAACGAGTAACTGCTCAGAACAATTGTCGGCCAGAGAATGGCTTTTGACAGTGGGTACCGGTTGAACGTCGACGGCGCGTGGCAGAAATGGCGTCGGTGGTAGTGGTGACGCAGTCGGTGGTGGAGACGGCGGCGGCTACGCGTCGTCCGATTATTACAATGTGCGGGTTTATCGGTTGCGCGCGCACCGGCAAACCACATAATAGGTATTGGGATTTTTTTTTTATACATAAAAGAGACGAGTGGTAGACCACGATATAGGATAGGGTGGAGAGGACGGACACGGTGAATTGAGTGTCGGTGAATAAAAACACACACACACACACACACACAAATGTATACAAAGATGTAATAAAACTGTATACAATATTATAGTGTAACGGCAACAAGTCGTCACAAGGAGAAAATTCAATTCTATAGCGACGAAGTTCTATAGTTGTTTACAGGTATTTTTGATTATAGAATATCGGCTATAGGATAACGTATTCGTAATGTATTCGCATGTTGTTTTATCTTTATTTCGTTTCTGTCTATCATCTGCCGATCATCGATATTTTGTTACAGAAAATTTTGTATTGAGGGGGTCATTTAATATTTTGAACGGAGCGAAGGAAACTATTGGTTTTATTATTTTGTGAGTGTAAGTTTTTTGTCATTAGCATTTTTTTCTATAAACAATGTTTTATTTAGAATATCCATGTATTATAAAATATCATAATATATCGTTTGATACATTATTCCGAAATGATGAGTTGCTAGATAAAGTTTTGTTATAATTATATTATACGTCATAAATATATCTCTTCAGCCGTTTGACAATTTTAGTAATTATTTAAAACGACCATTTTTTAGATTTTGAGCGTAAACAATAGCGAGGAATATATTGATTTTACTATGATGTTATGTTATTATAATTTGTTGTCTGTTAATAAATTGTTCACCAGTAATGTTTCTCCGGTCATCAAGTGTAGCAATATTTTGAAATTAAAATTTTCTCTAGTCGATGTATCATCAGAAAAGGTTTTTTTTCATTTGTATTATATTTGAGTTGTCTCATAATAATTGGCAAACACTTGCAACATTTACGTTGCAATAGCTGTTTCCGACATTTATTATTTTTGATTTTTTTTCGCCGTTATTCGGTTAAAAATAATTGTAGAATATGAATTTCGTTCATCAGAATCGTTTTTTATTAGCATATATAATTATTTATCGTTGCGCACAGATATATAAATTAAATTAGTTTATATATTCTTTACATACTTACCCGAATTCCCACCTACAACAATATGGTATACCTATCAGTAGTATCAGTTATACCTAGTCGTTTTTTATTTTTTATTTATATTATGGTTCTTGTTAATTATTATGAAAACTGCTTTAAAAAAAAAGGTCAAAAAATGACTTACTCCTACAAAAATAGATCCAAAACTCAACAAAAAATTTCTCGTGTCATTTTTTGATTTCAGTAAGTTTGAAAAGTTGTTCTCACGCAGGAAAAAACACATTAAAACCAATAGATCTCTCCCTATACTCCGAAGTTAAAATAAAAATGTTAATTACAAATAATATTTATTACCTACTTTATTCAGGAATATGAACATACCAACGTATTTAGCCAAATACACATTAAAATGTCTCAAATTTCTGTTTAAAATTACCTGTAGTTAGGCTACGGAGAATTAATTAGGTTAAACTATAGTTATTTTCGTCTAGAAGTACATTCAAATAATTTTAATATTTATTTACTCGTGGTCCTAATTAAATTTAAACACTTCAAAAAACTACAACTTTTTAAACATAAGGCAATTTAAGAATTTTAGGTACATCACGTATTGATTATGGCCTCGTTAAATTTACAATTTGCTGTATATTTTCATTTAGACAAACGTTGGTGAAATGATAACTAGCTTTCAACTGACTTTTGACCAGAAAGTTTTTTCGGGACTGATCATTCAAATACACTTTAACGATATAGTAAATATTGAAAAGAAAAAAAAATTACAATTTCCAAATGGTGTGGAGGGCAAACAAGACATACGTAAATTTTCAATGCGTGTCTCTCCCTTTTTCTTAAAAAAAAGATATTCAAATATAATAAATTGTTGTGCGTAAATTTTACCGATCGATTTTTAAATAATGTTATATAAAAAGGGAATTAATTTTTTTTTCAAATAGGTGGAAGTTTTTTTACATTTTTACGTGGGTACATCTTAATATACTTATAGTGCAGCTATGCTGTTACTATCCACAAGTAGACACCGCGAATGGATAAGAAGACAACGGAAAAAATATAATATATTATCCTAAATCTAAAATATACATAAGGTATATAATATTCTTTATACTTATATACTATTACACACATTTAGTAAATGGGTAATTTAAAAATATGTTTAGTAACTGTGACTTTAAATTTCGATACAACTAAAGATCTGTACTACTTTTTACAGTCCTCAATTTTATTTTAAATGTAATACTTAATCTAAAATCTTTAAAAGCATGGATTTATTTACGATTTATTATAACAAAATCGAATTCAGAATTTATCGAAATACAATTACTTTGTTATTCTTGTCGTAGAAAGGTTTGGAAAATTATTATTTTTATATCATTATATTATTTGATTATTTGAAGATAAAATAGAATTTGTATAAATAATGATAAATTCGTTTATTACAGTTCAGAATATAAATCCGTTGGCAAGTTTTTGTAAATTTGTATTTACATTAATTGTTATTTTTAATGTCGCAATATCGGCGTACTGATATTTGGCGTTTTATAGTTTGTCAAAAATTTTCCGGCGCAATATTAATGTAACTTTATCATTTAAATGTGCATTTTATAGCACAGTCGACGAACAAATAGATATTGTACTGATATATTATACGGATAGTATAGGTTACCCGAATTAGATAAAATTCACGAACGAGTTTATTGGCACGACATAATTAGCCAGGAAGTTGAAATTCGATTGTATTTATCAACCTGTAGTACACATTTTCTACTTCCTGCACAGTATTAGCACTACTGAAATAAGGAGCGAATTGAAGTGATTGAGAAGTTATTCGTACACAGTTTGTATTTTATTTAGGAACACACAAACACACAATGAATATTGTACTCATCTAAGCAGTAAATGAATGTAATAATAGTATACACGAAAACAAAAATATTATGATAATATAAAAAATTGTTCAGTCATTTATTTTGAATTTATAAAAAAATCATGTATATAATATGTATTATAATAGTAAATTAGAGGTAGAAGTTTAATATTTTCCATTTTATAGGTACTTGACGTACATAATATAATAAAATGGTAAAAATAACATATATAAATGTATATAAAATAATATTAAATCAGACTGGATTTAATTAAAAAAAAAAAATACTAATAAAACAATTATAATGAAAGTTGACATTAACACAAAGTTTTTAGCAAATGCCGCGGCACGCTAATTTCTATTGAATTATCATATGTGCAATAAAATTAATACAAATAACAAAATTAATAATTTAAAATATGTGTAAAAAATAATAATTAATCAGAATGGAATAATAATATAAATTACATAAAAAAAAAAAATTATGATGGAAGTTGTTATATTATTACAATGTTTGTATCGAATACCGCGGCATGATAATTTTATTGAATTATTATAATATATTGTGCTGTACAAATCACAATAGCGGAAGTAATGATTTTTATAAATTAAAATAATTGATTGAACACTCGGATAAATTATTTATAGTTCAAACTCATAAAAAAA